CAGCCGACCTGAACACATATTGCTGAGAGATTTGGTATGGATGCTAGTGTTGTTCTCGACAATGTATGAATTCCATGCACTTAACATTTCCGGTTTCTACTAGCCCATTTCATGTCTAATAGACCAAATTGATTGTTTAATGTCTGTTTCTGGTTAGCTCATATATCCTCCTGCATACACCTATGAGCACCAGTACAACTTGCTCCTAGGCCTTGCTGCCAAGATGGCTGAGGGACCTTTCAGGCTTCTGGTATGCATGAAACTGTACAGTACATTGATTTTTGATAATCTGAGTTCTGCTCAACTGCTCGTGTGGTATGTCTGTCGTCCTGGAAACAGATTGTGGATTCTGTGTTGATTTCAGTGGCAGGGGTGAACTTGCAGAGCGCCAGGTATTCTCGTCATTTCAATGGCAGTAGTCACCTCGTAAAGATGACAAGATGTTGAAGGGTGCTGTTTTATCTGCTGTGAAATTGCACCAAAAGCTAGCACAGATGCTGTCCCACCTTACCAAGGTTGCCGAGGAGTTCAATGTTGCAGTGTACATCACCAACCAAGGTGGGCTTTGTTATTTAGCACTGTATCAATTCCAAGAGTTTACAGATCAGTGGATTCCAAATTTTAAGCTGTATCCCTTCTGTGTTCAAGTGATTGCTGATCCAGGTGGCGGCATGTTCATTCTGTTTGTCTGACTTCTTGTTGCACAGAATTGCTTTCTTATTTCTGATCGATGAAAATGCAGCTTCCAATCCACATGCAGGGGGGGAAGGTTGCCTACATTGACACTGAGGGAACATTGTATCTTTGGAACTTCATAAGTAATTGTCAAGCTGTTTTTCTCAAGAATTTATATTTATCCCTATCATCTCAAAATTGTTTCCTTAATGAGTTTTCAGCCAACCTGAATGCATTGTGCCAATTGCTGAGAGATTTGGGATGGATGCCATCTCGACAATGTATGAATTCCATGCATCTAACATTTCCGATTTCTATTATCCCATTTCACGATTAACAGGCCAAATTGGCTGTTTCATTTTTTTGTAGATCTCGTGCTTACACCTATGAGCACCAGTACATTTTTTCTCTTGGGCCTTGCTGCCAAGATGGCTGAAGAACCTTTCAGCCTTCTTAGGCATGAAACTGTAATGTGCATTGAGTTTTGATAATGTCAGTTGCGTGCTCATATGGTATTTCTATCATCCTGGAAACAGATTGTGGATTCTGTGATTGCACTATTTCGTGTTGATTTCAGTGGCAGGGGTGAACTTGCAGAGCGTCAGGTATTCTCGTCAATTCATTTCGATGGCAGTAGGCATCTCGTAAAAATGTTGAAGGGTGATGTTTTATCTGCTTGCTTATGTGTACCTGCTGTTAAATTGCAGCAAAAGCAGTTCAACGTTGCAGTGTACATCACCAACCAAGGTGGGCTTTGCTATTTAGCAGTGTATCAATTCCAAGAGTTTAAAGATCAGTGATCTTCAAATTCTAAGCTGAGTTCCTTTTGTGTTGCAGTGAATTGCTGATCCAGGTGGCGGCATGTTCACGACTGATCCGAACATACCAGCAGGCGAGAGAGAGAGCATAAAGAAGAGACCTGCTCCTTCTTCATCACCTCTATTCGTCCAGATAACTCTTTGGCTACATCAGCTGCACAAACAAAAATTTGGCAAAATTTTGCAATAGATAGACAACGACTAAGCATGTTAGCTAGACTGAATGAACTGAAGCACAAAACAAGGATGATAAGATGGGATGCAGATATCAGCTGAGTTCAAAGTTATAACCTTAGCTTCTGTGCATGATTCAGAGTCCAATAACTGCACCAGCAAACAATGCCCCAAGAACAGCTTATCAACTTCAGGATCAAAGGTTTCAGTTGTATTGGCATAAAAATTAGAGTGCCACCTGATCAAAGCTCAGCATTTTTCCCTGCTTATCAGGGTACTGTACTGTTATCGTTGCACTAGAACCACCCTCCTATCTGCATAGTCTTCCCTCTCTGGTGATGTGTATTGACAATCCAGTTCATAGAAACCACCTGAAGATTCATTACCTGAGCTGTTCTGCATCCACATCTCTTGTCCCAACTTTCTCGAATTTGTTCTTCTTCACTGTGTCTGCATATGACTTCACAACCTTTTCTGATTTGAGGTTACTGTTCCCTTCACACTGGTGCCCAGGTGACAGCACTAACTCTCTCCCATGCTCGTCAGCTGGTACCTCCCGCAGGGGACATCCAGAAATTGTTGGGAGAAGGAGTAAACATATCCATCAAACACGTATCTGAGCACGATTCAATTCAAACTTGAAAAAAATACGCTTCTGGCCAGGGACACCGGTATGTTCTGGTAGTAATAGGCTACAATAGCATCTCTGAACTGATTCTCTGCTAGCGCAAAACACCATCTAGAAGGCATTTTACTGAGAGTGAAAAACAAAATGACATTCAAAGCACAGACACCAGGGATTGCACCTGGGCAAAATAGCTAGTTTTGCCCTTTGATTCAGGACAGAACTTGCCATTCCCTGCAACTTCGTACGTACCATACAATCTGCAATCATCATAATAGAAGAGGAAGAGAGGTAGTCCTTCCTTACTGATTCATAAATACGCAATATGTGCTTTTGGTAAGCCTGAAACATGACACAATTGCTAACTAAGTCAGACAGTTAGTGAATCACTCAACAAGTTGATATGCTTTGGGAGGCATAGAATGATATACCCCCCTCACAGAAAAAAAAAACAACTGCATTAAAGGGTTGTGATCAAGAGAAATCAAGAGCATACCAAAAAGTTGCCGTGAGTAACACTATGCAATGGTACTGTTTGTGCAACAAAATACCACAGCTCCAAGGTCTTGTGGTTGGAGGTTTCTTGTGGTAATGGACAGGTTTGTCAGACTGGTATTTTTTACAACCTGACTCAAACGAGGATTTGCTCATCACCATTGTACTGATACTAGCAAGGTGAGAAACAAAAGGAAATTAAGGAATAAATACACTGCACTGTCTAGTTGATGTATCCAGTTGCATGTTTGATGCATAAGGCAAGAAAAGGCAATGTTCTTCAGGAATCACAGCTGCTTATTTTCTAGACATGAAAGCAAAGATCAATGGCAGTAAGGCAAATACATATACACAATTTGGTATTACCATATCATTCGACTCAGCTTATTGTGCACTGAAGTTCAAGAAAACTCTCCCTTGCTGAACAGCATATATATTTTTTTTGACTTGTTTTCACTGATTCATCACAACAGAAAAGAAGGCAACATAATTAGGTGCATCTACATATCAAAGTGGCGAGATGACCCTCACTGAAATTTTCTTTTTCGTATCATGGTGTGCAAATGTTTTGGGAGTGGCCCATTTTGAACAATCTAGTGATGATGATACTAATGCAAAGTGAATTTCAATGATAAGAAGTATGCAGCAACACTACAAGGTCAGGGTCTCAGGTTAAGGTTGGTAATGAACTCCAACAAATGCGACTGCTCCTATTTCCTGAATCCTGACTGTTGATATATACTAGCACATGGAGATAAACCAAGAGATGAAGGCTCCAGTCACTGAACTCGTGGATGGAATGGAGTACCAAAATGATGTGCAACAGTTCAATCAATAATGTCTCAGTACAATGCCCCGTCCTCCCACAAAAAAAAAAAAAATATACTGGGACCACAAAGGCACTTGTAATTGGGCAAGATGACACATGCATGCGAAATCAATGAGCAAAACCCTGTTCTGTTGACGAATCTTTCAGAAACAATGCCCTGCATCTGCATAGATGACTGAAGGCTACATTGCCTTGCCGTCTAGTAGTGGAGCGAAATCCTAAGCTCGATCGAATCATCAGCGTGAGCCCACAAACCAATCCATTCCAATCATCAGTAACAAGATCGGTCGAGCTAGACCACTACTTTGAGTGAGGAGCTCAACTCAAATCCAAGAAGAAGCAGAATGAATAGAACCAGAACAGAAAAAGGATGCAAAGGAAATGCTGCGGTTGGGGTTTCATGGTACGGTCCGTACCTTGGAATCCCTTTGCTGAAGCCGTGGAGTGCCAACCAAGCCCCACTGCCGCACTGTTCCAGGATGGAAGAAGACGGAAGGCGGCGATCGCACTCGGACGCGCTGCAGCGAAACCCTCGCCCATGCCGATCGAAGTGGTTCTTGCTCGCAGTCACAACACAAGGCAGGCGTGGATCAGTGGAGTGAACTGCTCTGCCTTTCTTGGCTTGGCTCTCTCTCTGCGCCTGCGCGGTGAGAACTGAGAAGAGACAAGAGCAAATGCTGTTTTTACTGCTCCAATTCCTCCTCCCCACGTTTTATACGTGTGTCAGTCAGTGTCTTTGTATATGTATACAGTACGTTGTTTTCAGAAACATATTTACAGTATATGTACACGTATTACAGCCAGCAACCAGCAGAGAAAGAGGTTTGGCCCACCGACAGAAGCACAGACACACTGCAGTAGCTGTAGTTTCTATTATTTCTCGGCCCGATTAGCGAACTGTAGGTCCACTGCTATGGTATAGCAGGGGTATAGTATTTGAAAAACTCCTACCGGTACCCCTGACTGGAACTCATAAAGGGCTATTCTGATATAGAGGAGTACTCGGCTTAGAAAGGCTCTAAATTATAGACTTTTTGTAACCTTTTTAGATAAGTGTGGACGAAGTAGTAGACTTCACAGGTCCAACAAAAACCCCCTGACTTCAGCAGCACCTTTGATAGCTTGATGGAGGAAATATATGTATGCGGTGGGCACACGAACAAAATAATTAATAGCGTACCAAAGTTATTATTTATTAACTAATAATAGGTGCTCCACTATTTCTTTATTAATACAAGTTACAGCAACATTGCTTTAGCACATCCGAACGCAAAGACTACTCATAACCCAGTAAAACAGAGACTGCAGCACAGACGCTCAAATACTAGAGCTACACAATGGATACTTCCCATAATTATGAAGGGCGACACCTTGATTCCAGCACCTAAAGTTCAACAGCATGGCATCGTCGGCAAGTCTCAACAACACTTAGCTTTACCATAGAGGGAACTTTAGGCTCAATGTACGTCCTGATGGCCAAGAGCGCTCGTTGAGCTTCCATGAGAACATGAACGGGCAATGGGGAGCACTTGTTACTTTTATTAGCATTAGCAGACTCGGAGCACCTAGAAGAACTCTGATGGGTCCTCAATGTAAGGCATTCAAGTGATGTCACGCTCTCAACAATATGGCATGTTAGCTCAACAAGACTCTTTGCTGATGTGAATCCTATGATCTCCACTGTCTTCATCTTGTGGTGCTGCTGTCCTTGCATCTTCCTCAGATCCGAGGGATCGGCAAATATGGAGACGTGTTCCATTTTCAATTGGGATACCTACATAAGATGAAAAAGGGGAGAGAAAAAAGTTATAGTCATGGTTCTGGAGTGTTAGCTATTGTTACCATAGTAATATGAGTGTCAACTTACAAACAAGACCAAAGTCTCCAAGCAAGGGCAACCATCAAAAAAGAAACAAGAGAAAAATAATCATAGGCGGAGGAAAGGTTGCAGCGCTAAGAATAATATTAAGGTTTTTGAGGTGGAGATATTTGCTATGCAGCAATGGCGTATTGATCTGCGAAAAAGATGAACAGGTCAGTTATACTCCAAGGTATATGATATGACTGCTGTAAGTATGTAGCATAAAAATATGAGTATTGCTGGTCCAGCCAAAACAGTATACCTCACTTCTTGAATATATAGTGGCAATTTTAAGGTTTGGCATGCTGGACGGAAGTTCAGCACAAACGCAATGAACTGCGCCAGAGAAGGACAAACTTAGCTCCTTCATTTGCAATGTTTCTCCGAGTGACAGTTGAATGCGGTCTCCTTCATAGCAAAAACTGGAAACATTTGGAGCTTTGCTTTCTATAATTTTCAGCTTCCAACAACCTAAAACCTCTAGGTACCTTTAGGCGCTGCAGCGTGCAAGGGACCTTCAAGCAACCTATCCCCTCACAATACCTGATTCCCAAGCCCTCCAAGGCAAAAAGAATTGGAGAGAAGGCACCCTAACTCATCCCCAGTAAAACTGACATAATAAAGATGCAGTTTTGTCAGGCTTCTTAAACAACCAAGTTCAGTTTTGGGACGGAAGGAGCAACCAGTAAGGTATAGGTATTGGATTGAGTCTCCACTCCCATTAGAAAAGAGTGAGCATGGGACATTGTATTTTGCTCTCCTTGGCATTGAAAGTGAAAGTTCTTGATTCCTGATCTAACAGCAATCTGGAGCCAACTGTCGACATAACCATTGTAACCTCCAAGCATCTGAATATTGAGTTTCTTGACACCAACGCCTGAATGCCTTTTCAGAATCTGGTCAACTTTGCTACAGAAATCTCTGGCGATATCATCATTTTCATATTCCTTCTTATTCGACCTCAGCGTCTTCACACTGAAAGTGAGGTTGGGATGGCATCTCCAGGAACGAGAAAAGCACGAGACACACAGGCAGCTCGGGCAGCAGATCGCATTGGCATCAGGGAATGTATATGACACCAGATGTCCTGCACGCATGTTACAAAAGCATGGAAGAGAAATTCAGCATTAAGGAAAATGGTTACTCTAGATGGAGAAAAAAAGAACTGAAGAAAACTATGACAACGTAACCCAGGTTCTGCGCACATTGTTGCACAATGGGTTTTCAATGGCCACTTCAAAAACACAGTATGCAACTAGAGCTGATTAAATACTTGAAATCTATTCATACTTCTTCACTTAAAAAAATATGCATGTATGTATGTATGTATGTCAATACATGCTTCAAAATCAGGGTAGATTGGACACAGCAAACGTGCACGACGGAGTTATGGGCAGGGTATCAAACTACCAATGGAGCATCTTGATATATTATTAAACCAACAGGAGGCCCATGCAATTGTGTTGTACTCCTCCATCCCAAATTATAAGGCATTCCAAGAATCTTGGAGAGTCAAACTTTTTTCAAGTTTGACCAAATTTATATAATAAAATAATAATATTTTTATACCAACTAAGTATCATTAGATTCGGTATTACTTATATTTTCATAGTATATTAATTTGATGTTATGCACCTTTGTATTTTTTTTATATAATCATTGGCTAAACTTAAAATACTCGACTTCCAAGATTCTTGGAATGACTTATAATTTGGAATGGAGGAGTATCCATCAACTTCGTCCAGCCACAGTGCAAGAGACATGATATAAACCTTAACCACTGAAGTGTGATATGATAATAGGCTGAACCCACCCACCCCCCAATGATCTTCATCATATATGTACCCTAATCACTAGAAATTAGATAGAAATTAGCCAAGTATCTTTGTAGATCTAGCAAAATAGCAAATAAAAAAAATCTATTCATCCAATGGTTAATAGGTTCTAAATTAGCCATAACTCCTCTAGCATCTACTGAGAGGGCCTTTAAAGAAATGGAACTTGGCAGATAAATACTAGAAGTAAGATTGTAGATGGGTTTTTGCATGTATAATTATACATATCTTTGCTTCTCATTTATTTTGCTGTTCCATGAAATTTATCGACACTTAGTTGGTTGGTTCTCGGTAGGCCAGCCCCCACCAAATATATGAATCCTGGCTCTGCCCCTGTGAACAGGACAGTAAAAGAGTGCTATCCTACAAGGGTATGCACTATGCAGGTCTAAATCACAAGGAATTGCCTGTAATGGTCCAATGGAGATAACATGAGACACATCAAGGGAGACAGTACTAAATGATGGTGCCTTTACAGACATGTCATGGCAAACCTAAAAGGGAACCATTTTATTAGATCATACTGCCGCCATTCCGGTTTAGCTTTTTTAGATACAATAGCTTTCGTTATGCACTTAGATATACACTATGTCTCAGATGCATAGTAAAAGCAATGTATCTACAAAAGCCAAAACATCTTGTAATTTGGAACGGATGGAGTAGATTCCAAGGATTTTATAGATGACATAATGATTAGTGGAAAGCAAAATCTACTGATTCCAGCTTTTACACATTGGAGGCCAGAAGAGGGTTTCAGCATTATTATTGTACTTATTTAGGAGCAAACACTAGCTGTTCTTAAAAGTTAATTATGCACAGTTGGAAAAACGCAAGGGTTTGGGAGCCATTGTGACACTTGGTTTACTGACATTTCAGTAGCACTAAGCCTACCGTTAACAAAATGCCATGGCATACCTCTGGAAGCCTAGGTATCTGTGCCTCACCACCTTGAGAATCGGCTTCTTGCTGGCAGAGTGAGACCTTATTATTATCCCGTGAAGCAACCAACCCATCTGCAGCACAGCATTGGAGATTATGAGTAATTCGGACATTTGAGGCGCAAAACAACAAATGCACACAGAGGAATCCTTTTTTTGTAGTCCTGTCAAACATCTGTTCAGTAATAATATTAACACAGACAGCTTGTTAAAACAGAGCATGCAGGTTTTTATCTTTTCCCCAGAGCGTGCATAGTAAGTAACCTCTCCTCAGGTTTTATCAATCTAATGGAAAGGCGGGGGCTGTGGCCCGAAAGCAGTTAAAAAAAAAGGTTTTGTCAATCTTGTCAAAGCCAAAGAAACAATACAGTGCATGCCATCAGCCACTGCTTTCAATGTCTCCTCCCCTCACAAGGAGAGGCTCTCATCTCGGATTTCACTTGCTTATACAGGTAAAAGGAAGTAACGAATTCAATTGAATGTATCACTGTATTGTATTGTATTGTATTCTATTCCTCTGAAAATCTCCTTGGCTTATATTTTTTTTTCTACAAACAGATTCACATCAAAACTACAAGGCGGGTGGAGAAGAAAGTTTGGATTTTTCTATCATCAACCGGATTATATAAGGAAAAAAACAGAGGAAAAGAAGGCGGCGGCTGACAAGTGGTTTGCGCTCGCCGACGGCGGCGGTCCGGCTGCCGCTCCATGGACATGTGCTGCATAAGATCTACAAGCCCCATGTCTTCCTCTGTGTAGAATATATAGATAATCTATATATCCCGGGCCGCCTTAAGGCGGAATCGAATCAATCCCTCCCTCTCTGCCTGCCTTGAACCGAAGATCCAGCCTCCGGCGTCTCCCCTCCGGGCTCCGGCCCTCCCTACTGGAGGAGCGTCAATTTGAGGGAGGGATTGGACTCAGATTTGGTAATCCCACCCAACAACGAGTTTGGCTTTGGCTAGGACAGGGAGGGCTGCTGGAGTTGGGTTCGATTTTGAGGCCGCGTTTGGCCGGACTTCGATTTTACACTGCTTCTGCTCCGGCTCCTGAGGGAGACCGGAAAACTGTGGGCTTCGGCGAAGCGGCCCTTCCGGTCCCAGAGCCGGAGCCGTTTCGAACTGGACAACGAAGCCGCCCCAAAACTAGCTTCTCTCGGCTCTCCCCTGTGCGCACGCCAATCGCCAAAAGGACAAGTACACTGTACATCCTCCTCAGCTGCACCGAAGGGGATGTGATCCTAAAAGATAAAAAGGAAGTATTACATTTATTTTTTGTTCTCAAAAAGAAAAACAAAGGACTATGGATACCTCTGTCTCTAATGAACTCAAGTTGCTAACTGAGGTCAAATCAAATTAGGTTAAATAGATGGAGGCAGTATGGACATTAAACGTGTTTCGTCATTCTAGAAAAAACAAAGAGAAGACGTCTTGTCAAACATTTTTCAAAAATGCTTCAACTTGTTTATTAAACTGTCCACGGTGTGAACGGTGTCGAAAAAAATTTTAGTCCGACCCAGCACCGATGCTTCAGCTCTCGTATACCCACGGCGTAGACACCGGTGCTTCACTGTGCTTGTGGACCCCGTGACAGACTTTTCCCATCCATCTCTTCCCCCATCTCTCCATCTCCACTTGGTTGCCGCCTCACGCAAGCCCCGCGCCGCCGCAGCCCGACGGAGCCGGGCTCGCCGTCGTTATCATGCTGGAGGCCGGGGCCCGTGGGGACTCTGACCTGCACAGGGATGTGGAGGGTCGGCCGCCGTCGCCGCCACGAAGGTGGAGGAGCCGCCGCCGAGCCGCCCGGGGCAGCTGCTCGCCGAGCTGGGTGGCGGTGCCGATGTCCTTGCCTGCTCGGTGGGTGGCCCGGCGGATGCGCCTCAGCTGAGAGAGAGAGAGCACCGGAATCTGGCCGCGCTCGCCCCAATCCAGCGACGATGTTCGGCGACTCCGACGGATGTCACGGATCCAAGGACACCAGTGCCCCCGCGCCCGGGTCCAACCTGACGGAGCCGCCCTTCCCCAACCAGGAGCTCACGCTCAGCGACAAGGCGCCGCCCGCCGCGGCGGCGGGTCCGTCCTCGCCGCCCAACCCACCTCCACCTCTTCGCGCCTAGGCACGGGGATTCGCCCAGCGACAACTCGTCCGTGCCTCCGTGGTCGGGGATCCGCCCGGTGAGAGAGAGGTTTGAAGCATCGATGCTTCTACATGACTTGGTGGCCAATTTTTGAGGGAACTCGGCATCGCTCGCAATGGTCGGCACCGGTGCTTGACCTTCTCTCTCCTCTTCAAGCACCAGTAAAACGGTACACTGTGGGCAGTCTTAGAGGAGCAAAAGCCAAAACTTTTGGAGAAACCGAAGTGCTGTCGAAAGATCCTTTTAAGAAGTATACAGTACAATATAGACTCTCACAGCATGCACGTATACTCTCACTCATATAAAGATACGTATGCAAACTCTGCCTATATGAACACACATATGCAAAACATGCTCTTATGCACCTTCGTAGAACTGAATCAACAGATTTCAAGATTCAAGAAGTCACCGCAGGCGTCTTGTTGTCAACAGGAACGTCGCCTACCCTGAGAGCTTAGTGTCATTAAATCCTAGAATAAATCTAGTACTAGCCATAGATATTTTTCTGCAACACTTGTAGTCATAGTGGTGCAAGGAGGCGCTCTAATGGCTGTTGGAGTTGGTGTGTGCCACTACGTGTATGGCGCTTTTACCTTCCATGAAGCAACTAGGTTTTGGAACTCTGTAACTGTGTAATAAGGAACAACCATATGTATTGGTCGATGTAGAGGCTAGACATTAATATATTTTCTTTTCTAAAAAAAGCCTAGCCCAGTAGTAGCCATAGAAAGCTATGTAAAGCATCAGGGGTTCTTGCTTTTTAGGTTCTTCTATATATGTTAGTTCCATGCATTTCCTCATGACTGGCATACCAAGTTAGTGTTCTAGTCTTTGGCCTGATATAGTGGTAACAATAGTATAAAAGACAAAGAGAAAAAGATAACCAATATCTATTTTGACACCTTTGTTGTAACTGTATAGGTCAGGCTGTTTACACCAAAAGTAGAAAATTTGCTTTCTTATGAGTGGTTTGAGATGGAAATACTAGCTGATGCGGTTGAGCAGCAAGCAAAGGACATGGTAAGCAAAAGCAATAGTAGCTAGAGCACAAGATACGAATAAAAATTGAGTTTGAAGGGTGGCTAACTATGCATATCTATAGATAAATGGAATGCCAAAGGTAAAAGATGCATCTGAGCCTTTGTGCGAAAAACTTCAGACATTTTTGGAATTTTGGCTTATACTCG